TGTGGCTTTGATATTTTCTGAGACAAGGTCTGGCATTAACCTCTCTGTGTATTTTTTACTCCATTGCTAATATATTGATTTTAGTGGAAGACTACTTAGAGAAGAAGGTGTTACTCAGGCTAAGCATCAGCACTGAATCTGTTTGTGAGGAGTGAGACCTGAATTGAGCAATGATGCAAGAGTGAAATAAGTAACACTATGTTTGGAAGACAAAGAGTGAAACTTTGGTGATTCACTCCAGTGCCAAGACTCAAGGGTGTAAAAATGAAGTGGTTAGTTCCCTACAGATAGTTCTGATAATAAAATCTAAATGAATGTTTTGGGTCCTCTTATACTTTGCATAAATTCACACTCATGTTGTCATTGGAATACCTTCTCCCTTCCTGAGAGATTTTCCAGGAGAAAGTAATGTGGTCCATAATTCAGGTTTTAAAGGACCAAACTACTGTATGCATAAAATAGCTGGAGCTTTGTCAATTCCATCCTCACAGCTTGCTCTCCAGAACTGAGCTGGCAACGGAAGTGAAAGGAGGTGTCAGAGAATTTGCTGCTTTTGGGACAAAAACAATGATTCTAAGAATGTAGTTTTCTTCTGGGTTTTGTCTTACTGGGAGAGAAGAAAACAATAATTTCTCTTTCAGGATCTATGCGGAAATGTGAACGTTACAGGTAAAAGTAGTATATAAAGATAATGTGGAAGAAGACATATTTTACCTATTCTTATCTGTGAAATACTAAAATTAGATTGACAAATAATATTTTTTTTCCTGTGAATTATATAAATTCTTAATACATCTAAGAAAAAAAATTTACACACGTTTAAAACTTATGCCTCTATTTTGACTTTAGTGGAACTCTATAGTGTGACTAGATTAAAAAGTGGGCAGTCTGCTTTAGAGATTACTTTAAATGAACTTTCATTACTTTAGGATATTAAATGTAAATCTAACTGAAGGTGGAAATTTTTTTCAATATAAGTACTTTTAAAAATTTCTCTTTTTCCAAAAATGAAATATTATTACTATCCTAATAATACCACTTAGCCTTGCTGAATTTTGCCAACTTGAATATTTCCATCAACTTCAACTCTGTTTCCTGCAGTCTTATGAGGAATTGGACCATAGGGAACTTTCCTTTTTTTTTTTTTTTTTTTTTTTTTTTGTAGAAATGCGATGCAATTTTGGAAAACATTCAGGGAACTTTTAGAATAAAGAAGAACACACTTTCTTTACAATTTGGATTTGAAATACCCAAAGACTGAGAATTTCCTAACAAGCTTTGAAGAACTCAAGGCTTTCAGGCTCTTTGTTGGAACCCTAATGCCAAATTAATCAGAGCTTGATATTTTCCCAGTGCTCCTAAATCTTAAAGTTTTCTGCCTAAAGCTCCAAATCTATCTCATCTACTAGGCCTTCTGAGGCTTCCAGACTCTACTCTCTCCGCCATAATAACTGATGGAGAGCTAGAAGTCATCAAGTTTTGTCTTATACCAAAAAAACTGGTTTTGTTTCTGAAAAAATATATTTTTCTCCAGATCTTTTGTCTTGAAATATTACACCCATAACACCCATAACACTCTATCTTACACTCAGAACACTCTGTGTTCTGAGACACAGAGAATACCATTTTGTCAATATGCCATTTTTCCCAAAGAGCAGAAATGCATACATGTCCATAAAGTAAAGTCCCATGCCTGTTAATGCTTTTACTACCAGCAACTGACTGTTAAACTGATCAAGGAAAAATATCAAAATCTTCCTCTTAAACTAAATTTCGTAGGAAGCAGAGTATCCATGGCTTGATCCATATGTAGTTCAATTTTTGAAACATTTATTTCTATAAGCTTCAGGTCAGAATTAACAGATTACAGCGATGATATCTCTGTTAAAAGTTAGCAAAATACTTTTGATTTGCAGGTTCACAGAAGAGATCTCCATTGTGAATCGTTTAAAATATTAAAACACATCTAGGATATAATTCCTTAAAGTTGCCAAAACCAAAGACAATTTCATTTCATTACAGTCATGTGATGACAAGTCTAAAATCAGTTTCACTGTCAGTAATTATATATGATCTAGAGAGATAAATTTTATGAAATAAATGCTGACAGAATAATATTTACACATAACTAAAGTAATATTTCTACAATTTGGCAGATTCATAAAAATAACATCTGTTATGTTTTTCTGAACTCACACATACTCTTTAAGTATCACCCAGCAATGTTCTCCTTACCAGTTATTTTTTTTTTTTTCCAGAAGTAAAATATATTTTATTAAAAAAATAATATAACTTTAATAATAACCATTATTCCATCTGTTGTATTTTTACCTGCAGGCAGCTAAGCATCACACAGCAATTCATTCACTCCCAACTCTCCTGGAGAGATGGGGGTTGAGAATCAAGAAAAACAATGTAGAGTTCATCGGCTGAGATAAAAACTGTTTACTAAGACAAAAAAGGAAAAGAAAAATAATAGTAATTATGTATATATATGTATATATTTACAAAAGTGATGCACAATGCAATTGCTGACCACCTGCTAACTGATGACTAACAAATACCCCACCAGTGTGGGGGCAGTGACTCCCCACCCCGGACTCACTCCCCACAGTATTACAGTTTTTGCATGATGTCACATGGTATAGAATATCCCTTTGGTGTGTTTAGGTCAGCTGTCCTGTCCCCTCCCAGCTCCTTATGCACCTCCAGTCCCTTTGCTGGCAGGGCATCATGACAAGCTGAAACGTTCTTGGCTTTGTGCATCATTGCTCAGCAACAGCTAAAACATCAGTGTGCTATCAACATTGTTTTTTTCCTAAAGCCAAAACAAAACATCATAGCACCAAAAGCAAAGAACCAGAAACATTATATTTTAGCGTCACATTGCACCAGGAGAGATTCTGATCACATATTAGGAAGAATTCATTCTCAGAAAGAGCAGTGAGTCAGTGTCACAGGCTGCCCAGGGAGGTGGTGGAATCACTGTTCCTGGAGGTGTTTCAGGAAAGGGCAGATGTAATATTTAGGGTCATGGTTTAGTGGTCAATATTGGTGGTAGGTGGATGGTTGTACTAGGTGGTCTTTTAGAGGCCTTTACCAACCTTAATGATTCCATGATTCTATACTCACGAACTTGTACTTGAAGCTTAGACAGCCTATTTTAAAACAGAAGGTATTTTTGGCATCTTTTCTTGTTTAACATACATCTTATTCAGTCATATCAACCAACTTGAAAATTAAAACAGTCTTGCACTTTGACCTCATCCAACCGGACTGTGCATTGCCTATGTGGAAGATTTAAATGCGAAATATGAACCCTGGTTTAAGAACTGGGGAATATTAGCTGTGTGGCCTCATTTTCAAACGACAGTTGTTCTTAATGAAAAGTTAGTCCAGGATTTTACCTTTCAGCACATGCCAATTTGAAAGATCTGTACAAATAAACTAGTTAACTGAGCTTACTAGGATACAAATAAGCATTGTTATGAGGCTTCTGTATAACCTGCTAAACATGTATTAATTTTGAATTAAGAGGTAAATTGGACATCCTCAGAAGCAAATATGAGTCTAGTTAAATAAAAAGTTTCTCTATCTTTTGAATGGCTGGACATCTACACGAAGTATTTCTCAGCCTGTTCCTTTTATAACAATTTATAATGAACTTACAAATATTAAGAAAATAAGCATGCAAGGATGTTGACTCTCTAAGTTAAAAGGGGGATCTGTGGACATTGCGATGTATTATCTTGTAGTACTTACTGTTTGAATTAACTTAAGGAGAACAGAACAGATTCACTGAGAACATGAATAAATCCATCATATGACAAAGCAGTTCAATTAACACATGCGGCATTATCACAGACACAAACAGAAAGTAAAAATAAACCTTTGTAAAGTTTGTTTTGCAAAATAAAATGTAGTTGTCTTTCATTTTGACATCAAAGGCATAAATCACAATTTAAAATAATCACATTTGCCTTTTGAAGTCCTTATTAAAACAGGCATTGTCCCATTGTGCGAATCCTACTTCCGTAAGGAAATCTTTCTTTTCTCTTGTAGCTATAAAAAGAATTCTTTCTACATTTTACATAAAATCCTTTATCTGGAAATTGACAGGTTGAAGGAGTTGGATATTAAAGGAAAATAAAGATGTTTTATTTCAGACTTATTCCAGTCAGTTTTCTTATTTGAAGTCTGAAGCTTTCCTGGGCTTAACTATCATTGGCCTGATAAAGGTGAATCACAAAACAAAAAAATTTGAAAGAGGAGCAAATGTATTAAGAAGGCAAAAAAAAAAAAAAAAAAAAATCAAACAAGAAAAAAAGGTCTATAAATGCAAATTTTGTGAATCTAAAAAACAAAAGCAAACAAACAAAAAACAACAACAACAAAAATCCAACAAAACATGAGAGAGGAGAGAGATGAGACTAATTATGGAGTATCCAAAAAACGTTCTCAGAATCTTTTACATAACATATTTTATTGTCTCCTTTAAAATAACTTCTTTCCTTATGAAAATGAATCAGTGTTCATAGGGGTTACTTAGTTTAGCAGCTGCCTGCTTTGTCTGGATTTCTATGCTTTCAAAAACCTTGTAAGAAGTAAAGTGTCATGTACCGGAGGCAATGGCTGCCTGAGTCCAGAGAGGCTAGTGGGAGATCTAGTTGTGAGGCAGCAGCTCTGAAATTACTCAGAAATCCTGCTTTTACCAATCCCAAATAAATCATAAGTTTGGCAAAAGAACTGGAATATGAATGAAATAATTTGGAGACAGGAATTTCTTCCAGCAAATGCAAAATATCTTAGTACTCCCCAAGAAAGTACTTCCACCAAAAGGAAATCTGTACCGAGTAAGAGAACTTTGAGTGCTCCACATGATATCTTGTTTGAAATGAGTCACACAGAATACAGCACTTGCTACAGAAATTTTATGTGATGCTTGACATTACAACTGGAAGTTGTATCTTGTGATGCTCCTCCCATCAGGCAGGCCGAGAAGCAGAGGTAAAATCATTCTCCACTGACGTCAATGGGAGTTCTGCCACTGTCTGAGACCAGGGCCAGGAGATCACTCCAGGATTTTTTCTCAGGTGATTTATCATAATTTTTTTTTGTTTTGTTTTTATTTTGACAACTTCACAGTTGAGAGTCCACTTTGTCTTTTTATATATGGCATTTTAACATATTTCTATTGCTTATAATTTTTTTTTCTACTAGCTGGAATGTATGTTATAGCAAGATTTAAAAAAACATAAAGGTGAGTGTTGAAATCATGCTCCTGTATGCTCACTAGTATGTGTTATTTACCCTTCTAATTGTGGTTGCTTCTACTTGTATTAGTGGGTGTCCTGTGGAATTTCAGGGGATTTGGCTCTTCATTTTGTGGTTCCAAGCCATGACCAACTTTTGAATAAGAAATCCTCCCATTCACAGGGAGGTAATTTTTGGAGCCAAGGATAATGCTACTTCTGTTTGCTGAATAATAATGTTATAGTTTAATTTCTATTTCTGAGAGCACAGACTCTAATAGCAACAGAAGTTTACCAACAGTAAAAGGTTTAGCATGGATTTCTAGGTGTTCTATCTAAATGTCATGAAACAAGAATACTCTTACCATAAAAAAATATCTCTACAGAAATAATTTCCCAATAGAATAGGTTGAAATGTTCTGACAAGAGTACATCCTTTTTCTGTTTGCCATATCACACTAGTAGACATTTCATTGCACTATAGTATTTCATAAATATTTCAAAGAAAATGGATGAGTGTTCTGCTAGAATCTTCACCTTATGAGCTATCGAGCTAACAAGGGCTTAGTGAAGAAATACAACATGGGAATGCACTTGTTTCAGTGATGTTTAATGGCATTCTAGGATTTCAAAAGTTCTCTTTTTATTCAAATTTTTCTCTCAACTGAAATCAGAATTATATGCAAAAATTCAAGAAGAAGCAAGTGGAACTGAAATTACTGCTAAAATACCTATATCCAACTTTTCCTCATTAGAGGAATACTAGAAAGAGAGTAGAAAATACATAATTGGATATTAAAAATCAATATCTCATCCTGACTGGTGAAACAGAAAAAAGATGACCGAGCACTGCTTACTGCATAACCTATTTTTCCATCCAAAAACTGAAGAGCTAGGAAGTGCTAGCAGAAAATGAAAAACATGCCTTGTTCTGTTGAGTTATCATTGGCTTCACACCAATGTTTTGCATAAACCAAGGACAGATGTCATTATTTCTTGGCTTAAGGTAATTTTGTCAGCTCAACACTGCTTGGTTAAAGGACAAAACTATTTCTAAGCTGTTATTAATATTTTATAAATTTATTTGTATACAGAGGAACTGATATCTATATTTTATATTCGGTTCAATATCCAAGAACTGTTAACTGAAGCTTCACATATGAAAGGCAAATAATAGAGCATAAAGGCATTCTTTGTACTTCTAGCAAAGGTCAATTTACCAATCTAGTAAAAAATTATTCATGTAATCCTGTGCTGAGAAAATGTTAAATTTTCATGATCTTAAATTATTTAGCAATGGGTTGGAGAGATTCTGGTAAAGAAAAAATAATTATTTGTTTTAATAATGTAACAAAGTGATTATTTAACTATGCTAATTACTAAAACTTTCCAGAGTTCTAAGAAAATCTTAACGAGGAACTTTCAGGCCAGTTAATTTACAAAGTATCATGTTACTGTGTTCTTTCATTTGTCAGTACTAATGGGAAAGGGACACCAACAGTACTGTGAAACAGATCATTCTCATGATTTTTAAGGGCCTAGAGGTAGTATAATTAAATTAAATGAAGGAGCATTTTAAAATATTCTAATTTGTTACCAGTGTTTATGTGCTTAATTGCAGTTAGCAAATGATAGAATTTCAGAAACTGTAACTCAACAACTTGATACAAAGAACAATATTGCAAACAAAACAAATTCTGGAGCTATTTATGTGGGTAAAGCATTTGAAGTTTTAAAATATATTTCATTATTTGATCTAAAAACTGATAATAGAAGCAGAATTTGCACCTGCATCTGGCTTCCAAGTGATATTTGAAAATCGAAATAGAAGCATTCTGCTGTTCACACAGATACAGAGCCACATCTTGTGAAGACAGGAGAAAATATTATTATAAATATAAATCAGTGTAGTAGCTATTAGTATAAAGCTATCAAAAAAAGCAGCTTCAAGAAATAAGTGAAGAGTGTGTCATCAGGAGGACAGTATCTTGTTTTTCTCCATAGGGAACTGGAAAAGCAGTCGTCAGGGTCATCACAGAAAAGTAATATACGCACTACTAAGACATCTGGAAACTACCTAAGGGACACTGTATACAACAAAAGATAGTAGAGTTCAGTATGGAGGTAATATCATTTTCTTTCAATTAACATTTTTTTAAATGCATGGTGTTAATCTGAAACAAGGTCTGGGAATGTTTTAATATTTTTTAATTGCAGTCCTATGATAAATGTTGTTTTCTTTCTTTAGAGACGCTCCTATATGATATATAGATGTGCTTCCAAGGTGCAATGGATTTACAACTATACAAAATCTACTGGAACACTTGTGGAAATCATAAAGATTGTGATATTATCAGATGTGAATGCAGGAAAGCAAGCAATTTACACCCTTCCATCCCTACTTGCCTCCGCCAATAAAACAAAACAAAACAGAAAACAAAACAAGAAAAAACACAACAAAATGAAAAATGGGAAAAGGCAGACTGGGAATAACAAATAGCTTATATACAGGTTATACTTGCAGACAGAAATACTTCCTTGATTCACTATGCTGGAACTACACCTACCTATATTTCTATAGTTAAAACAACATATGGATGAGTCGAGTCAGTATTAAGTTTCCAGATCTGAATCAGTGTCAGTGATCTTAGTAAATATGTTTAAATCAGACATATTTTTTTTCATTTCTGCTTTGGATTAAATACAACAAAATGAAGACCATCTTATAGCTCCCAGTTAAAAATAAAAACAAAACAGAAATTTGTCTCAATTCAAGGACCAAAACGTAGCATGAATCCAAACTCATAATAATATGGAAAAGAGGGCAGCAGTTAAAAACAACAATTATTGAAATAGTATATCCAAGATGCTCACCTAATATGGAATGTGAATACCATTTTTTTCTTACCTATCTGCATTTTTTTCCTATTAAAAACTAACATAGTTCACTTGTATTCTAAATAAATGATTTCCAACTACAAAATTATTCAAAATTACATCAGCATTATTCTACATTACTAGCACGCTCAGCAAAAGAAAAAAAAAAAAAAAGAATTAAAAGAATTAAAAAAAAGCTTTACTTATTGTTTATGAAATTTTGTTCTTTCTTTGTGCAAATGAATTTTGAAAATGAAAGTAGGACTCAAGAGAGTAAAATAATGATATAAATGGCACAACGAGATAACTGGTATCAACAGTACTTTTCTAGAATAGCAGTTGAGGTCAGTCATTATATTACTAATTCTTTCTTCCTTCACTCCTCTCTATGGGTACTTTTAAAATGAAGCCTACGATGTGTATGTCACATATGCACTAAATAATTATGAAGTGAACTCAAGTGTTAAGTTTCCATCTTTGACAAAATATTATACACTGCCATCTCTATACTGACTTGGATCTAGTCCTCAAAATGTCCTTGGCTTGAGAATGGCTTACAATAAAGTCTTGAGCCAAAGCAGGCATTTTCTTGGCATCAGGTAGGACCACCTTTGCCCATTCAGAGAAAGTGTTGCAATAAACAGGGCTCAGTTCAACACTTATTTATAATTTTAAACAATAAAGCCATTAAGTATTTATTCATTCCTTTGTAAAAAGAAAAGTAAGGTTCATGTCTTACTGAAGATCTATAGAAGCCAGGTACAGTGTGAGAGGGTGGTATAGAGAAGGGCAGGCTGTGAGTGAAACAGCGTAACAGAAACAGTGACTGTAATTGCTGTTTAAAATCCTGAGATAATTCTTTTATACTGATATAAATATATGTTAGTAATTTCTTTCCTTTTTTAGACCAAAATCAAAACAAAAGTGAAACAATCTTGTCAAAATAAAAAATGTGCTATTAATTTACCCACACAGCTTGCACAAAGTAATGCCACAAACGTGTTCTGCCTGTTTTCAAGCAGACACAAAAGATTTAGCTTTCTCAGTATGTTTGTTTCTTGCTGAGATAAACATAAGTTTGGTGTCTTATCAGGGAGTTTTAGGCAAATATATTTTATAAGGACCAAAGACCTTTCATGAAGGCCATTTCAGTCAGAGAGCATGATTACTTTAAAAATGAGAAGGAATAATGTTGGCTTTACATTCACACACAGTGATTAAGGTGCAGGATCGGTTTATAAACAGCAATATTCTGTATATGTTTCCTATTATAAACACTTTTTTTAAACAGTCAAGAACCCTTTTCTGAAGGAAAAAATAAATGAAAGGCAAGGAACAAAGACAAAAATGTAACACTTTGAAGTGAACTCAGCTTGGACTATTTCTGCAGTATTACATCACTGCTGGGAAACTACTGTACTGTGGTCATTTACTGGAAAACTAAATGCATAGAATTTGGAAGACATAAAAATTTAATAAACTGAAGGTAAAAACAGTGAACTATGCTAAAGTCAATTTCTGGAGCATTTCAATTAAACTCTACTAATTTATATACAAAAACCAAAAGTTGTCTTGAGAATTTTCTCCTCCTTGTCATGGTTACAGACAGGTTAAATGCTTCCAAGAACTATAATTTACATTTATTTGACTTACTCAATCTTTCACTTAATGTCATTAGCATATGGTTAACCTCAAATATATTTAACACCAATTTTACAGCTTAAAATAAATCCAATGTTCCAGCTTCGTTTATTTGTTTCAAAGCCCAAACTGTGGGCCAAGGAACGGTTCCAGTGCGCTATTAAAATCAATGAGAATCTTCTGTTGACTGAGGACTATATTGTCTCAAGCCACCCATCCAGAGCCCCAGGTCTCAGGCTGTACAACTTAATTCATGTTCTTCAGTCGGTGACTTGGTTCCCTTGTAGAACCTCAGCTCTGGTCCCTTGAGGAACAGCATAATATCATCAGAGAGGATATCCCTTGTCAGTTTTGCTGGAAGACTTACTGGGCACGTATAGCTAAACATTGCTATCATTAATGACAGCTGTGCAATAAAATGCGTCACAGCAAAAAGAGAAAGGTGCGTCACAATATGAATAACCACTGGTGCCACAGAGGCAGAGTGGCCTTCAAGCCAGTAGCCTTTCCTCTACGAGCCTCACCTGATCTTGTTTATGCCAGTGATACAGAAAGAGAGGAAATGGATAAATGGTCTTCCATATTGCATGTACAGAAAATATCTTAATAGAAATGTATATACCTTACAACACTTTAAACTTTTTCTTTGAGATCTGTAATTCCCCTTAGAATGTGGGGCTGTCACTCTGACATGGAATTGCCAGAGTGCTTAAAGCCCTGTCTTCTACCATGTTGTTGCAGAAAAAAAACATGCTTTTGTTTCACAGTTAATTAGTGAGTTCATTCAAATAAGTAGTGTCAGCAGCGGCTTAAACCTGCACTAGCTGTCCCAGCTTCCCAAGCAATCCTTTCAACTTGTTGAAAGTTGACACGAAACCAAACAGTACAATTCCAGTGGTGTGCTCCACCTTTGCTTAAACCTCCTTGACAAATGAGAAGTTAGGTCAGAGATATATATGACTTTAACATGTTGTACCTATAGATGTGAAATGGCAAAATGTAAGAAAATCTGATTAATCTGCTAATATACCTGATAAAAAAAAAAAAAAGCTCTAGCCCACATTAAAAAATAAAGTCAAATGTTTTCAATGTAAGATATATAATTATATTTAATCCCCTATGGTTTTATTTACTGTCATGTTGTTTTAAAAGTGAATATTTGATGTAAAAGATGGAATTGTAAACCTGAGGGTAGACGGACAACTAATGCATTTTTTAATACCAAATTATTTCCAAAAATTAAGTAGATTTTCCTCCCTTTCAAGACTGAACAGCCTCATTCCTCCCATAAGATTAGTGGTACATTTCAATACCTGATAACAAGCAATAGTTTCCCACTAGTGATTAGATATGTAAACTACCTGTGCTGCATAATTTTTTTTTGTCCTTACATGCACCCATTATGGAGCAACTTATTATTAAATTGTTTATTAACTTATTATTTAGTTGTTATTTTTGATTTCTTTCATTCATTTTCATTCCTTAGCATGGTTTTAGCCATACTAGTGTTCAAAAAACAGAACAGTTAATCTAAATTCATATCCCTAAGCATCTGAATGATTTCTTTCACCTCACTCAGTCCCATGAGGGTATTCCAAGTACTCCTTTTTTTTTCTTTCAACTTTCATTTCCTCCCACTTGTCTTCCACTTCCATAGGAGACTATTTTTTTTCCACTGCAAATGTCAACATTTATTGCTTTGTTGGGCCACCCTTGAAGAAACAAAAATTGACCCAAGGTGTCAAATCTGCTCAATTCCTTTTCCTGTTCTCTCACCTTCTCCCATAAATTAAAGCAAAGTTAAATAAATATGTTGCTGTGAGTCGTATTAGTACAGGTAGACCACCATCAACATTTCCTTGTGCCTTCTCATTTAAGGTTTAAATTTGTATGGGAAACTGTCAAAAATCTTTGTCACTATTTCTAAGAATTTGTATTAAGCTTCAGTATTAATTACATTAATAGGTCATTACAAGAGCCCTACTCATATTTTTATTTTCCTAAGTAGCCACTCAACTGGGTAATCTGTCTCCAGATTATAATATATATATATATTATAATAGAATATATATAATATATATCTAAAATATATAAATATAAATATATTATATATATATTATATTATATTATATTATATTATATTATATTATATTATATATATATATATCTAAAAATAAAATTTATTTATATATATTGGCACAAATACCTGACAAGTAATATGATTGTAATAAAGATCAGGGAAAAATATCAAAGTGATAAGTATTGGTGAAATAAAAGAACCCTACTGGATTTACAATATTGATACCTATAAGTATTATGATCTCTCAGCATTTCAAAGGCTTAGGATCAAAAGAAATATACTTTTCCAACATTTCAAAATTAAAAAGTGCAAAAATAATAAAAACAGCGCCCATGGAATATTAGGAAAGTTATTATATAGCTGGAAGAAAAATGGTACTATAAAAACCAATTGATCACATATAAAGACAACATTGTTTAGTCATCAGAAATTGAAAGTAGAAGAGAACTCAGAAATGTATCTTGCCAAAGCAACATCAATTGTCCTTAAGGCACAAAATACATCCTTTCAGTCAATTCTTCTCCTATCCTGATCAGTTTTGCTATTGATATTGCAGAAACTCTCATAGTACTGAAGTTTAAGTATGTGCTATATTCCATAGGACTGTAATTTGAACTGGAGGTAAACAAAGGTTTGTTGAACTTGTCACGTAGGATTGACCGAATTTCTTCACAACAGGGAATGTTTTGCATTAAGTTTTTGGGCCTGGAAAAAACAGGCCATGACTTTCACTAGTGACATAGAATCACAGAATTACAGAATTGCCAGAGTTGG